GCTGGAGCGCCTGCTGGGCTGGCACCTGCAGCCGCGGGAGCTCCCGGAGGAGCGCAAGGTGGAGCTGCTCAAGCTCTTTGAGGTGCTCATCAGCCAGTCCCACCAGCCCCTCCTGCAGCACCCGCCCGTCCGGCGCCCGCTGCTGCGCCTGCTGGGCCGCTGCGCCGGGCCCGCCTCCCCGCCGGTGGAGAGCAGCCTGGTGCTCCTCCTCAACCAGCTCTGCGTCTCCGTGGCCCGGGAGCCCCCCCTGCTGGAGCTCTTCTTCCGCAGCCCCTCCGAGCAGGGCCCCGCCAACCTCCTCGTCTTCTCCCTCCTCGTCCCCTTCGTCCACCGCGAGGGCCTGGTCGGCCAGCAGGCCCGCGACGCCCTCCTCCTCCTCATGGCCATGTCCGCCGGCAGCCGCACCGTGGCCCAGTACATCACCGACAACTCCTACTTCTGCCCGGTAAGTGGCGAGGGGGGCTGGGGGTGGGGCTAGTGGCCAGGGAAGCATTTGGGTCGTCGCGGGCGGGAGCGCCTGCCAGACCGCTGGCCCCAGCCGGAGCTTGGCTTCCGCCAGCCCTGCCTGCAGGGACCCTCCGGGCGTGAGGGCCTGGGTGCTTCAGTGACGCGTAGGCCCTTCCCTCCGCCAAGAGTTTCCACAAGGCAGGAGGCCCTCCTGGGCCGCTCGCTGTCTTGCCGGCAGCCGACCTCTTCTGGTGGTGGGGGGGGTTGAGTTCTGCTCCCCACGGCCCGCTGGAGGAGCCCTCCTGTGGGGGAGCCGGAAGGGGCCTCTCCCCTTTTGCTTGAGCAGCCGTGGCCAAGCCTGGCCCCTCCGACTGGGCACTCACAGGTGCCCCCCCTTCCTCCAGGGGGAGGAGAAGGCGGAAGCGGAGGGCGGCACTGCTGGGGCTTCCGAGAGGGCAGGGGGGCTGGCTCAGAAGCCTTGGGGGCTTCTCACCCCCTAGAGCTGCCAGCCCCAGACACCTGAGAAGCCCTCAGCCCAGGCTTAATACAATCCCCCCCCCCGCCCCAGCCGCCATTGGCCTTTTCCACTGATGCCGCTCACGGACTCGACAGGTTCATTAGACTGCGGCACAGAGATCTCAGCCTGCCTGCCTGCCTGCCTGCCGGCCTGCATGTCTTCTCAAGACCCGCTTGGCCCCCGGGGGCACCACTTCACACTTTTGTAACCTGATTTGTCACAGGGGGGAGGACTATTTGGGGGTTCCTCACAATCCTCCTTGGTTCCCCCCATCCTGACCAGCTTAACATAAGACCCATAAGAACAAAAGAGAAGCCATGTTGGATCAGGCCAGTGGCCCCTCCAGTCCAACACTCTGTGTCACACAGGGGCCAGAAACACCAGGGGCCCTCAGGAGGCCCAGCAGTGGGGCCAGAACTCCAGAAGCCCCTCCCACTGTTCCCCCCACCCCCGCGCCAGGAATACAGAGCATCCCTTGCCCCAGACTGAGAGTTCCTATAAGAACACAAGACAGAAGCCAATGTCGGATCAGGCCAGTGGCTCATCCAGTCCAACACTCTGCATCACACGGTGGCCAGAAATACCAGGTGCCATCAGGAGGTCCAGCAGTGGGGCCAGGGCACTGGAAGCCCTTCCACTGTTGACCCCCCCAAGCACCCAGAATACAGAGCATCACTTGCCCCAGACATATGAACATAGGAGAAGCCCATGTTGGATCAGGCCAACGGCCCATCGAGTCCAACACTCTGTGTCAGGCAGTGGCCAGAAATACCAGGTGCCCTCAGGAGGTCCAGCAGCAGGCACCCAGAAGCCCTCCCACTGTTCCCCCCCCCCCAAGCACCAGGAATGCAGAGCATCCCTTGCCCCAGAGATAAGAACATAAGAGAGAAGCCAGTGTTGGATCAGGCCAATGGCCCATCCAGTCCAACACTCTGTGTCACACAGCGGCCACAAATACCCGGTGCCATCAGGCAAGTTTACAAGAAGGGGGGGGGAGCTCCACGTGGAGGAGGAGGAGGAAGCAGCCACAGGTGAGCCTTCTCCCCCAATGGCGAGGCCCACACGCCTCCCAGCCGCCAGGCCTGCCAGTCCTTCTGCTCTGCGTCCCCCACTCCGGTGGTGAGCCGTGTGGGCCTGTTGAGCCTTCTCCCCCCCGGCTCCGGCGGTGTGGCGTGAGCAGCTCCCAGCCGCTGGGCCCGCCGGGTCTCCCCCCACGGCCAGAGTGTTCTCTGTGCATGCGCAGGGAATGCTCTTTTACTTTGGGGGGGATTTAAGTATCCCCCCCTATATTTTTTTCAACTTTTTGGATTTTTCCGCACCCCTGGAAACTGCTTCAAGTGTGCAAGAAAACCTCCCTGCCCCCCAAGTGCCCCCGATATGCGGATTTGGATATCCACACGAAGGGGGCAACTTGGCTCTTCGATATATAGATCTCTCCGCTCCCTGGCATTACGCGTTATGAGCCACACGTGGTCCGGCCCAACAAGGTCTCATTTATGTCAGGTCCGGCCCTCCTAAGAAATGAGTTCGACACCCCTGGGTTAAGGCATGCCAGGGGAGGTGGGCGGGGGGGGTCTCAGGAGGCTGTGTGGGAGAGTGCCCAGCAGCGGCTGCTGTCCTCGTGTGCTGCAGGGGAAGGTGGAGGTGTGTGTGTGTGTGTGTGGGGGGGGGGGGCACCCTTTTCCTCCTGGCAAACTCCCCGACTGCTTTTATGCTGCTTCAAAGATGGGACGGGGGGAGGATTCATGCTGCCCCCCCCCAGTTGCAGGTGGGAGGAGCGGTTGGCCCATCCCCCTGTCCCGACTGACCGCTGCTTTCCCGCGCGGCTCTGCAGGCGCGACTTCAAATCCAGGCTCTGAGCGCTTGGCCAGCCTTCGGGGGGCGTGAGGGTGTCTCCCTTCCCCCCCCCGCCCCGGTGCTTCTCCCAGGTCCCTCCTGACACGGGCCCTTTGCCCTTCTCGGCCCCCCAGGTCCTGGCCACGGGTCTGAGCGCCCTCTACTCCTCCCTGCCCCGCAAGCTTGAGGTCCGGGGAGACGACTGGCACTTCCTGCGGCGCGAGGACTGGATCGGGGTCCCTTCCCTGGTCCTCTTCATGAACTCGCTGGAGTTCTGCAACGCCGTCATCCAGGTGGGCCTCTTGGGCGGGCGCCAGTGTTCCCTCTAAGCTGTGGAAACCTGTGGGCAAAAATTCTACACTGTGCGCTACTGGCATTGAAGTTGTGAGCAGGTGATTTGGCTGCTGTGTAAATTAGTCTACTCTGGAGCCCTCCTTCCTGAGCTACGACAAAAATCTGTGAGCCGGAGGCTAGAAAACTGTGAGCTAGCTCACACTAGCTCAGCTTAGAGGGAACAGTGTGACGATGGGGGGTGGGGCTACACCGAAGAAGGGGCTGCGTGGTGGGTGGTTTTTTTTTTAAATCATTTTATTATTATTATTATTATTGAAGCTTATATACATTATCTTACATTAGATCATTATACAATCATTTTACCCCCCTCCCTCCCCCCTCCCTCCTTGTAGTATTTTCATATTTTTAACCATGTGCACAGATTCTTCATTTGTATTAGGGCGGGGGGGGGGGGGGGGAGATGGGACTTGGCGGGAGCTGGCAGCTGTTCGGCACACTCTCCGTCGGCATCCGACTGCCTGGGAAGCTGAACTCTCCTGGCCTGATGTGCTCCCTCTCTCTCTCCCCCCCTCTCCCCCTCTCCCCCCCCGTGGCAGGTGGCCCACCCCCTGGTCCAGAAGCAGCTGGTGGATTACATCCACAACGGGTTTCTGGTGCCGGTCATGGGCCCCGCCTTGCACAAGGTAAGGCTGGTGGTGGGGAGGGGGTTTCACGGGAACCAGGGTGAGGAACTGTTGCCTGACTCGGGGCCCCTATCCCCATCAGGGGAAGCCCCCCCCTCCCTTGACCTGCCCGTCAGAG